GACACACACACACACACACAAACACGCACACAGACAACCCCGTAACAATATGCGTTTTGTACTGCTATTACAGAGCACAAATCTCATAAAAATCAAACAAGCTAAGGAGTTGGAACCACACGTAGATATTCTCCCTCCGTATATGAGCCAAAGGTTTCAAATTCAGCGATCACATACGCCTACTTCATGCGTGCGGACAAGTCAAAATTGAAATTTCAACTTGAGAATCAAACTGAGTCAAGTGCCATGACTTCATGAGAATATTTGTGATCCTCAGCGTGCAAGAATAAAGTAAACTGTGGCATATACCTGCGCAGCACATTCGAATACGACAAGGGTATTTATAAGGAAAAGCGATTTCGGCGCATTTAATGAAAAAGTAAAACTATGTCTCTTGAAAACAACTTCCAAGCCACGCTCATGAACTCTTCAACAGAAACAGCATCCGTTTCACTACAACTTAACGTTTCCACTTTCTTTAACACTATTGTATTGCTTTTTTGATACAAAAAAATATCATCAAGTCTAATTTTGATGAGCAAGGCTGGATTTATCATCTTCAATTTTCCCTTTAAAATTTCGCATCTGTGATACTACGTGGATGAGCTTCAAATGGCCAAACTAAACATGCGTAGGATTGATTCCAGCAAGTGCTGCGGTTATTTTTCATTTAATATTTATTGAAAATGTTTTTCAAGGAGTGAAGGAACCCAGAGAAGTCAATTTTGACGTAGACGAATACGGAAAACTGGACAAGCATCATCGGGTAGATGCGCTTTGGAAAAACGTTGAACAAATAGCCCATAGTGGAACGGAGGTTTGTAGTTTTTGCATTTGATTTAGCAACATAATAGAAATACTGAGAGCTTTGCGAGAAAGTATAAGGTAATGCAAATTATTTGTATGAGTTTTGAGCTTCACTGGAAATGCAAACTATGCCTGTCAAGACTCTATCTGTGTGTGCGTGTCTGCTTCGATTTTCGTCCAGAGTTTTCAACTCAGCGTCTTAACAAGTTAAAATATTAAAATCTTAGGAGACGCCTTGGAAATTCAAAAAAGCTCCCTAAATTTATGCGCCTAAGTTTCATGTAGCACTTGAAAACTGTGGCACAAGGTTTCCCGAACCAGGGTATAGACAAGACAGGAAGATGGAGCTCTAGGAAGATGCTTCCTGCCTTTTGTTTTCTTCAAATTTGACTTCTACTCACTCTATGCTCACGCATAAATTCATAAGATTTTAGCATGGGTACAATAAGAAATAGCTGAAATTTCAAGAAATTATTTTTTGTCTACTTGCGAAGCAAGAAATTCGGATTTTGCTTCCGTATATGCCCAAGTTTCACTTTTGGATTTCTCCTTATCTCTCCCTCACGTGTCGACAAATTTTTTGGAGGAGGAATTGATTTTCTAGTTCACTCCTCGATAAGAAAAGGTAGAAAGCTGAAACTTCAGGATTGCCCACTCCTTCTGCGACCTTCCCATTTTAATATCGCTCGCTTGCGCTTGGATCCCATTCATGGACGCCTCCAAAAATACTCATGTTTTTTGACGGGAAAGTGATCTTTGGGACTAGAAAAGACAGAAAGCTGAAATATCACAGAAACTGAGATTTTCCATGTCCTAGTTTGAACTAATTTTGTTTTAATACACGCATAAATCAAAGTTGAGATTTCGCGATTGTTAGTAAAGTGCCAGTTTGGAGACTAATTAGAACATTTTAACTTTAGGAGAATATTTGTTTTCCCATAATTGGTACCTAGGCCTAAAATGAGCTTTGGTATACGTCTGTGTTTCGAATTCCAGTGTGTTAAAAATGTCGCATAACAAAAGAGATTTCGCTAACCAGACAAGCAAGATAGCTGAAACTTTGCGAAAATATTCTCTGCCCGTGTGCGTCCGAAATATTTTAATTCGAGCTTCAAAGCACGCCAGGCCTCGCATACGCCTCAAGTGAACACCTAGTTCCGGATGCTGTTGGCACTCAAATAACTCGGTAACCAGAATGAGCAGGGAAAACAGCCGAGTTCCACGACAAATCGTTCACGCTAGAGATTCATGCGGCCTCATGATGCAATACTACTATCCCAACCGACGTCTTTTCCCCTATATGCGGGAAAAGGCCAATACACAACCGGCTTAAGTGCACGTATTAGACCATTGACACAGGAACCATATTTGCTGTCTTCAAATCTAGCGCAAAAGCGCATGTGCATACAGGCAAGCATGTTGCGTTGCAGGCTGGGTTATTCTTTAGCTCAGATGTAGAGTGATATGGTAATAGCTCTCCCCTGCGCTTCATCAGGCTTCGCATCTTTTGAACCGTCTTTATCTTCCATTCCACGGTTACAACTCCAAAAACATCTTTCAGCTTTCATTTGAAGTACCTGTAAAAATTTTGAGTTCGGATCGTATCCCTTTTCGTGCTTCTTTTCTTCTGCACCGACATTTCCTAAGGAATGAAGATCTTTGAGTCAGGTTCAAGACAGTATAAAAGTGCAAAATTCTAGGACCTGACAAAGCTGTGTGGAGCGTATTAGTAATTCAATAACATTCCTAGCCGCGTACTTCAACAACGCTTTTGCAGGTGGTGTCAGTAATCATACAAAACTGCTAGTCTTTTGTAAAAAACTAAAATGCGATATGAGCTAAAGGGGGCCCTTTCTTGAACTGCTAATACGTTCCCGCATCATATCATATCTGAAGTTTGCACAAGTCTCAGTGCTTTCAAAAATGTGTATTGCAGGAACGGAATCGGGCGAAACGCCAGTTGATATCAGTTCTGGCGCCGGTTGTTCTCGCACCGTACATATTCTCGCCAGTATTCGGTCTCAGTATCTTGGGTCCAGTGGTTTTGTCGCCAAATATTTTCAGTCCGCTAATTTTGAATCCTGCCATACTTGGCCCATTTGTTCTTGATCCAGCCATCTTCATGCCTTTCATCATCAGTCCTTATATCTTGTCACCATATGTGATGACGCCTATTCTCGGTGGCCCTTTTATATTAACACCATACATTTTATCACCCAATGTTCTTAATCCGTATGCCCTCAGTCCACTGATACTCAGCCCGTATGTTTTAAGCCCGGACGTGTTATCTCCGCAGGTACTTGGTGGACAAATTTTATCACCATCCGTTTTATCACCATCCGTGTACACAGAGAGTATCCTGATGGCAAGTGTTTTGTCACCCTCCTGGTTGTCCAGGTGATTTGCTTTGCAAGCAACATTACGTACTTTTTTGTACATTTTTTGCCAGCTGTTTGTTAAAAAGGGCTGCTTCGGGATCGCCTTATTTTGTTACTATTTTTCCAAATTGGCTTTGTCAGGAAAAAATTACGCAGGTGCAGCAAAATCAACCGGTTACTTTTTTTGAATACCTTAAAGGGCAGAAACTTTTATTTTTTGAGGATAAATTAGCTTCGGAAAAAAGCTAGAAGGCTGAGACTTGCGTACTTGGGATTCATTAACGTGCAGATATATAAAGCTGAATTAAGCCTTGTCGTCCTGCACCCTTTCCGATTGTTCATAAATTTTGATTGTTTCGGTAAAATATCACCAATAAAGTGCAGTAATAATTGATGAATAAAAGGGCAATTCTTTTTCAAAAAGTGCTGAAATTGATCATCTTCGCCAAAAAGTCTCCTCAAAAAAAAAATCCTGGTTACGTTGAAGTTCTCATTTTTCTTCGACACGTAAGTGCTCTATCTTGTCGAAGGTCGCTGGGATTCGCTTCCCACTGCAGTGGTCATTGAGCGGTATTCCATGCAGTCTCTGTGATTCTAAATTTTGGTACCAGTTTGTGATGACCAAGGCTCACTGAATGTCAAAACAGCGAGCAGCGTGTTCCATCCAAAGTTTTTAATTTTTTATGCTTGCACTGATATTCTCCAGATCACTGCTTGCCAATAAGAACACTTATCATCGGCACATTGACAGACACTTGCTTTTCTATGCAGCAACCTCTGCCTCACCTCTGTTTTGTCACACTGAATTAGCTTACGCTGCGCAGGCCAGCACTACATCTAATAGATTTTGCATGGCAATTTTCTATTTTCCTCAAAATTCTCTACCGCATTTGTTCCGGAAATTTCTTCATAAAACGAGGGCTACTGTAGACCAAAAAGAGCTGGAAAGCTTTCAGTAATTCGGCAAGTTACGTCACACTTTTCCGTGCGTTTTCGTTATAGCGCTATTACAGCGAGCAAAAACGTAGGTCGTCGAGAAGTCTACGTGCGTGTGTTCGGAAGCGATTGAGGTTTGTTATCTGCTTTCAACTCAGCAATCAGGAAAGCTAAGAGGAAGCTAAAACTTTTCCGCATCAGGAAAGCTAAAATTTTTGCAGTTTTGAGCGCATACTCTCCTATTTTTTAAAATTTATGCTCACACGCGTCTAAATCTTGCTTATGAAGCGCCAAAAAAATGCACAAATTTCTTAGGCGGGGAACGATTTCGGGAACCAGAGACAGAAAGAAAACTGAGAATCTGCAAAGGAGTTCTCTGTACATGTACGAGAATAAAATTTCAATTCTAGCTATTAAACACACCTACACAGCGCGTCTTGTCACAACAAACTTCACAGCTGGCACTATGTCACCTCGAAAACTAGCAAAAAAAACAATAAATGAAATTTTGTCAGAATATTTATCGTCCGTATGAAAAATCGCATGCCTAAATCGAGCCCTTATTTGCACTTGCTGCATGATTTAAGGTTCTTCAAAGATTTAGGGTTCTTTAGCGAAGTAGCTACTTTATTTACCGGACAAGTTGTGAACTGAAGGGATTTCTTCTATTTACGCGTAATCTAAATCCAGCATGGCGGCGGAAATCCCTGCACATTGACACAATACGCAATTTTATTGAAACCTCAAAAGCGAGTGCGTTTTGTAGATTTTGTAATCCTTCTCTCTCAATATTCTTTGCGTTGTCAAATTTCTATTTTTCAATGAACGATCCCTTAAGAAACTATTCATTTCTCTTCATGTACGACTGAAAATCGTGAATGCTGGAGGCTCATGTGGCCCCATGATGCAGCACTGATGCATCCCAATTGACGCTCTTTCCCCCTGTATACTGGAAGAAGTCAAAACACAGCCACCATTAGTCCACATGTCAAACCACAGCGCAAAAACATTCCTGCTGTGAAAGAATTGAGTTCAGCGCAAAGACACTTGATCGCACTAGTAAGCTTGGCGCGTTGAAGCCTGGCTTTATTAAGCCATCAGCCTAATCGCACACAGATGAAATGGACCAATGCAGTCGAGTGAAGACGCTCATAAAAAGCGATCCGTTGTATAAAATCCGATTTTTGGTAGCTCTCTCTTCCAACAGTTGTTAAAAGCAATGTGTTAGCAACTTCTTGATATGCAGCTTCCTATTCTTTACTTTTTACGCGTTTTCGCATATATGTAAATTGCAAAAACGCATATTGGGAAGAGGCTGTGTGTGTTCGCACTTTTTTGTCACCCACTTTCAACTCGAGAACCAGAAGAGCTAGAAGGCTGAAATTTTGGGAGTATGTGCCCATACCATGCGCGGCCCGCGACCCTCCCGCTTTAATTTCATCCCCCGCGGACTCCTGGGTGCGGCTTACAGACTCTTTAAAAAATATACAAATTTTTTTAGCGAGAAAGCAATCTCGGAAACCACATGAGCTAAGGGCTGAAACTTTGTAGGGATATTTCCTATGCATGTACTAGCAAAGGATTTCAAATTCAGCCTCCCTGTATGAGTAGTGCTCAAGTAAGGGCGTATGAAATTTTTAGGAGGGAAATTGCTAACTCAGGTACAAAGAAGGCTATAAAGCTAAAATTTTGGGAGAATGTTCTCTATCCAAGTACAACTCAAATATTTCAAATTCAGCCCAAGTAACGCATGGTACTCACGTAAGGGTGTATGAAAGTTTCTGCAGGAAAATTACGAACTCGACAACCAGAAGAGCTGGAAGGCTGAAATTTTGGGTGGATGTTCCCTGTCCACGTGCAATTTAAAAATTTCAAATTCAGCTTTCCAACCACGTGGAGTACCCAAATGCGAGTATGTGAAGGTTTTGGCGAAAAAATTACTAACTCGGTAACCAGAAAAACTGGAAAGCTGAAATTTTGTGGGAATGTTCCCCGTCCAAGTACAACTTAAGTATTTCAAATTCAGCCTTGAATTATGCGAGGTTCTTACGTGCGGGCACTTAAAAGTCTTGACGAAAAAATTTCTCACTGAACAATTAGGTTGCTTTTAAAGAACTACTGTTAAATGGAAATTGCACATTTGCTTTGCAAAATTTATGGCCATTTATGTTAGTGACCGCAAAAGGTAGGTATAAAGCAACAGCCATTCATACAGTTAACGACCTTAGTAATTCAACTCCGGTGCAAAAACATATAATCACACGGGCCCGTCCGATGCGTTCCAGCCTGGGTTGCTTATAATTTAGTGTGCTAACAACAATGTTCTGTCAAAAAGTATCGAAGTGCGGAATTGGTCATCATGTTAGCGAAATTGGTCTCTCGACCTTTCGCATGAGAATTGTGCATTCAGCAGAATGAATATTGAACACTTGTAGCTGCACTTCTGATCCAAAAAGGCACCAAACAAAACGAATAATGTTTGTTTATTATTGAGTGTTGTACGAAAAAATTCAATTTTCATGACAAATAAAGCTGTCACATTTTTGCAGGAAATAAATTTTTTTTCAGATTGCTAAAAAGAATTTGTTGGTTTGCTTTCATCTCTCACCACTGCCAAAATTTTTTTTTTCATTTGCCCTTTGCCCAAAAGTAAAGCGCTCAATAAATCACGCGAAAGTACTCGAGACTTCCTTACCTCCCAGGAATAACTCCTGAGCAATATTTAAAGTAGTGCACACTGTTGCCATCCAGGAATAACTCCTAATATTATTTTGCGCTAAATTATAACTTGTAAATCTTTCAGACTGAATGTTCTATGCTTTCACCAGTTACTCACTGAAATATCTGGAATAGCTGTAAACTCAAAGTCTAATTCTTCACCTAAGCATTAATTAATGATAGGAAGTGATTATTTTAAGGCAGTTTTTAGACAAAAATGTTGTGGAAGTTAACTTCTGTCACTGAAATTTAACAGAAATTAAAAAAATTTCAATATTTCTTTAAGGTTCTATTCTCTTTTCTTGCTCGTCTCGTCGTTGTGTTATTTTTGCAGGTTCACGCAATACAGATGATGCTATTTGCACATTGCCTGGTGGTGCCAGTAATGCTCCAGATAGGTACACAGTTAATTATTCATCAACGACAATTTACTTTCCCATAAATAATGAGCGATTTTTATGCAGCAATGTTTTCGTAAGACTGGGTCACAGAAGTGCATGCCCGTTTGCATTCGCACTTTTTTTGTTGGAAACACTTCTGTAACAATATATTGCACTTTATTGCACTTTAAGGAAGACTTATTGCACTTTAAGGAAGTAACAGTATATTGCACTGCAACTTTTTTGTAAGAAGCACTTCTGCAACAATTTATTGCGCTATTTTAACAGGTGGAAAAAAGGAAATGATTAATGAAGTGTTTGTTTGTTTTTTTTTTTTTTT